ACACTAACTAGTGGGAAAAGAAGTCTTTTATCACATAAATACATGCTTTTACAACCCAACTGTGTATTTTTGCCAGCAGATAAGGAATCCAAGGATTTTTACACAAAAGATTTCTAGTAGAAGCAGACAGTATAGCAGTAGTTTTTGTGACTAAGTTGACAGCTAGCTCTGTTGATGCTGGTACTATGCTTTCCGGTTTTTGTCAGAACGTCATAGCTTACTGGGCTACAAAACCGTATATTTACCGTTCAACCCACTGTTATTCATATACAACCAAAAGGCAATACTACTAAATCCTAAAATCATTCTAAATTTTGTGATTAATTCTATATGCAGTAAGTTGGTGTGAAGTTGTCTGGTCCTAGAATAAACCTCAAATAAACATCAAAAGAATCATCACACTCATCTTGAGCTACAAATCTTCCCTACTATCTAAACTCCTATTCGCATCACCCCATTCGCCTACAGAAGAATTGGTTTCTATATTGCAAACTTAGGAAGAAATTTTTGGATTAGAAATTCTCAGGACACGATTGTCGAACAGAGCCAATCCACTTAATTTTATTCTGTTTTGTTGTGTAGTCATCTTGTTTGTTTTTGTTTATTTATCCGCATAAGATTTAGAAATTGGTATACATTTTTAACAATCTAATGAAAATATGATAACTATGAAGCGCTCCACTTCCAGCTGAAAATCTGAAAGTTGAATACAATCCTCAAATATTGAAAGCACTTACGGAATGCCTTCAATTTTGATTTGTGCAGAATAGTTTTAGGGATCAGAAACACTAAGTATGTGTAAACCTAAATATTTTTATCGAATTCAAAATATATATTTTCAGAGAATCGTTTCTAGGAAGCAAATGAAGAAATGAACTAATAGGTGATTTCTTCTGTCGTGCATCTAGAACATCAAAGACATTTGCTACTAAATATGGATAAATGAAACAGTAAACTGAAACAGAAAGCGATTGATAAGGCACAAAGAAAGTTTGAAAGTGCTCTAAAAACCGTCGTCTCCACCTAGACGAAGTCAAACTGGCGTCTTAAAAGCAAACTTTCTAGTTTATTTAAATATCACTGGTTGTAAAAAAAAAGAGTTGAGGTATCGCCAAATGAAATAAATTCAAAAAACCCATAGAGGAAAATGAATTTTTACTTTGCTGCTAAGCTGGCTGTAAATATTGAAATTCTCTTATTAAGACGTTTGACATTTCAAACGACACATTAGGTGCTACTGATAGCCTTAAGACTACAAATCCTCGATATTTTACTTCTCAGGCAAGTATGTGTCACAGATGGAGAATTCAGGTTACCATACTGGAAGCATAGCTGATAAAAACTTGTCTCGGTGATATATATTAAGTCTCCTGAGGACATTACATTGGACAGTGATTATATCAAAATACTTACCAGTAAGATACGCTTGGACATAAAGGAAACAGGACGTGACATGACTATAGATCACCACATGTTGTTATGTTTTATATCACTGAATCAAAATAAAGTTTATAACATGCCTATATATTTATTTTAACTCATCAATCGACGTTAAGCATGATCTTTATTTTTGTATGCTGTCATTTTAAAGATTAAAACCAGTATCTCACTTGCTATTCTAGTTTACAGTTTGTATGCCCATTTTTAATCGTCATTTAAAAGTTAAGAAAAAGGTCATCACACACTGATCACCTTCGAGTTTCCTTGTTATCACTTAAAAGTGGGATTTGTGGACATTTCACAAGGAATATACAATGTTTACGTTTGTAGCTTTTCGGAGAATAGTCAAGTATTGCAGTTAAAATGATGTATGGTTACTTGAAAACACTTTTAAAATTTTGGAGATATAAATAGAAACCACTAGCGAATTACAAGTTGCCGTAAATTTTATTCATTGCAACAACAGCGGAATAACTTTAAATGTCTTAAGCAGTCACCAAATTATTATAGCAACAGTTAATTTTTTTCATTACCTTTCACAAGTTAAATGCGCACTAATGACATTATCATAGAATTTATCCGCCACCACCAAGTTTTGCTTTCATGACGTTGCCATTCAGCATCTTGATTTCGATTCAGTAGCCCATATTTTCTTACTTCTGTCACTTCACAATACAAATGAGCTCTGAACAGTTTCGTTGGTGAGTATTTGTCCTTACACTTGACTTTGTTGACCGAATGATCTGACGATCCTGTGTACAATTCATGGTGCGGCCTAGATTACTCATGACTGAGAAGTCATATACTGGAACTAAAAGGGTGCTCCTTAGTTTCAGGTTCTCCATGGTTCAAGTTTCAAAACAGTCCAAAGTTTCACTTACACCTGTTGCTCCCAATATGTAGGCAATACTTAGGCAAAGAATTTCCAACTTGTTGTCTTCAGTGGAACTTAAAAACTGCTGAAAGCAATCACCGCTTAATCTACAAGCATATAGATCTCTTTTATCCAGGTAACATGGCTACCTCATTCCATCTGCTTTTGATACAGCAGATCACTAGCAACGATCCGCACCATTAATTTTTAATAAAAGTTTTTGAATAGGTAACATATTGCGGCGGTGTGAAAGTTCAGTGATTTCCTTATAACTGTCAAGTATAAGTATTTGACTGACTCCATTAAATCTACTGTTTTGTGAAGAGTACATCCTATCTTTTCGGGATTCTGAACTCTACCCGTTAGTATGAACCTTGTTATTCTTTCATTTGTGTTTGAGTTATATCAAGAATTACTACACCTTGCCTCAATTTTGGCACGCAAAATCCAGTATATACCTGTCCATTTTTTTGTTAGAATAATACTTCATAACACTTGGTTAACATCTGTAAAATTTTTAAGTTCCTGATCAAAAATTATCACTTCCTTGCATCTTTCTACTCGTCTTACTGTCTACGACTTTCACATAACTGTCATGTACCACTCCCTTCAAACAAAGATATTTAGTCAGTTTCTGAGTGTAATGACTAGGTTTTTCTTAGTTGATAGGTTGTACAAATCAAATTATTCTTCAGTGAAATGCTCCCATTTAATTTACGGGATTCAATTGTTATTTGATGCTGTCACATACACTCTGATCCATTTACTGAGATAATTCAAAATGACATATTTTGTCACAACTTTGTTAGTCTCGATATAGGTTTCATATTAGGCTTTAAATCTTATAACTAATGAAATGAAACAAGTAGTCAACTAATTTTCAAACAATAACAACAATCATCAGTGGTTTTCAAGATTTACTTCCTCAGAAGATAAATAACCTTAACTTTCATTAATGACGAATACTGATATTTTTCCATTCCTCAGAAATGTCGGAAAATCTTTCTCTAATCCATAGATTTGATATTAGTTAACAGGTGCTTTACGCGCTATTTCGAAATGTTTCTTCATTTAGATTTCTGCCTTTCTCAGTTAATGCTGGCCGTCGTAGTTCAGTGTCCATTTTTAATGAGGTGTTTTAATCCAGGTCGATGTTTTCAGGATGATACCATCTAAACAAGTGTTTAGAATCTAGAGAAGGATTAGACTGTTAGGGCTAGTTTACGTGAAACTGTTACTCAAGATCTGGGTGGCTTGTGTTTTATATATTTTGAAAATCGCCATGAGATGACTCAAAAAGCACATTCAAATAATTTTCGTGCAAAGTTTTGTAATTTTTTGCATTTTAACAAAGCCCGATCGATTCTAGTGCTTTCACACATTTGATGCTAACCGACTTTTGGTTCATTCAGCCAGTACAAGAACCCGAGAGATAGAAATATGATGTACTTTTGCGCACTAAAAATCCCATTTTCATAGGGCATGGCAGATTTTCTCTGCCTTGTTATAAACTAAAGAAACGGCAAGTTTAAAACATCATAAAAATGCATGAGTATATGATACGTTCAGAGGATATTTTTAAATGATTTCAAAAAAATCGACAGGAAAAATTTAATACATTATATTGAGGGTAGAAGATGTCGCAGCTCTAAGTTCAAGAAAGGTGCCAAGAATAGATACCACTTATGAAAAATATCACCTTTAGTTTCATATTATTATTTTGACTATGAAAAGGTGACTTCAGTTTTGATGTGAACTGTTTCAACAGTAGTAAGCGACTAAATAGTACTCGATTGGAGGTTCATTTATGACTAGTGTTTTGCGAACCGATAACTGGCGTTTTACACCTACAGCATTATGACACGTGACAGTGGATTCTGATCACTGGAACACTGATCGCAGACTACTGAGAGACAGCATACAACACTGGGAAGGTGAGGTTCATTGTTATGACAAACAGTAAAGTCGACTAGAATTATAGCCGTTTACAGAGTTTTTTTACCAGGTGAATCCCTTTAGGTTTCAACATAGGATAAGTGTCTTCTCAGGTACTGGGTAATAATTCATTAATAAAATGCCAGTAACATGACCTTCGGTCAAAGTTAACAATAAAAATACAGCCTACATCTTATGTTCAGAATATTCATTATTCACCCGTCTTTATCCGTTTTTAGTCTATCTCAGGCTGTTTTATCCAAAACTTAAATTTAAGGCGCTGCTAATTCATATACCTTGAGGTTTTTCGAATGACTGTGGTCATTAACGTTTGACATACCTGTACTATTTCTTTATTAACGAGTTCATTGGGTTTTCCTTTTGTGCTTAACTTCAGTGTGTTATGCAAGTGTAAGCGGTCGAATAGCAGTTATTAGGCTGTCATAGTTCATTTGATTTTATATTATACATTATACTTTTTGAATCATAACTTCTCAAATGAACTTATTTGATGCTTACTGTCTGTAGTAAAGAGCAGACAGTCAGTAGTTTACTAACCAGAAAATACCACTAAGAATAATGTACCATTTCAGAATTGAAGTATTCTTCTCATGGTGAGAGAGTAGTGAAGTCCTGATAGGATAATGTTTTCCTTCTTCTCCTTTCTGTAAATCTCCTTCTATAATTCCGTTTTTCATTTTAAAATTTCAACTGTCATAAATTCTTCTTAGAAATATTAGAACTTTTTTCAGAATAATAACTTTTCACGAACATATTTCATGCAGTAAATTTTATATTTCCCCCCGTAGTAAAAAAAGTAGATTTATGGAAGAAAATATACAAACACGCAAATAAATATTACAGAGATGAACCTTGTAGCAACGAAAATTTGAATAGTTATTCACAGCAACTTTCTTGTGCTAACTTTACATTCATCCATTGGAAGTGGGTCATGAAACGAACATTTCGTCTTAATCCTCACTTCAGTGTATACAGATGGAAATGTTCATTTGATTAATTTTGTTTTTTAGTGTTTAGTGAGGGGTCTAAGGTGTCCGCTTACATGAACATACAGGAAGCAAAAGAGAGTAGAATGAGTAGAAAAAAAGGCATGGATGGTAGCAAATCGGTTTTGGAATGGCTTGATGACAGTTTCAATTTTCTTGACTGCTTAATTCTCAATTCAATAAATTTGACATATTTCTTGGATTATTAAAAATTTTGTCAGTATCTGCATGAATAATGCAGTTGCATATAGCTGTTGCTTCATGTAAAATGATTGGTTCACCTGAATTTTCTGCTAAGTCTTTCGGTGGTGACTTGGTTTCGCGCTGAGATTGGTGGTCATGGCATCGAGATTGACTATAGTGATTCGTCAATACACAACTTCCTGTTATTTTTTTCGGGACCATTAAGCAGTCAGTACTGGAATAGGATTGTTTTGACATCTGATCTTTGTTAGAATGAACTGATTCCGAAGTTAATACAGACCAACATGAATATTGTTGTGGTTGCGCTGTAACCATAAAATCTTCAGAAGAATAAATTTTTAAAATCTGATCCATGTTATCACCATTTTTTATTTCATCTTTATGAATAATTTCATGATTCGTTCGTAGCTTTGATTCTTTTTTATACCTACACTTGCCAAAAAATGCGAAGATTTTATCCGTGATTGAATTAGGTAGCCAAAAGCTACAAAGAACAATCTGCATGCCAATCAATGTGAAAAATGCCAGTATCGCAGGTAAAAGTAGAAATCGATACTCCACCCAGTCTGTACTTCTAGTATTTGTCAATTCACGCCCGACATATTCAGCTGAAGATGTGTTTGGTGTAGGCTTTATTTCTTGAACTTTAGGTTGATTTATAAATGGTTTCTGTGAGCTAATATAAACTTTTTTAAAATAACAAAAGGATACTGTTAACTGGTAAATACTAGCAAAATATGAAGTCATGACATTAGTTGGTATACTCATCTATCTCAACAAATTTTAATCAAGCGGGCGCTCTGCATAAACTGGCGCATGATACGATTGATATATTCGTCCCCGCAGGAGCAAGTAAACGGATATGAGTTCCTGGCAGGAGAATATGTTTCTAAGAGCGGCAGAAAAGAATGTTCTATTTGTTGATGCTGATAGTCTTTTTTGAAGTACATTTTTCGCACAATTCGCCTCGAAATAGAGGTTCAATAGTCAAATTTTCTTGCAGCAGTGTGAAATGATGAATAACTGACTATGTTGTACGAAATATGAACGTGTGTTAAGTGCTAAATAGGTTTTGATAAAACGTATTTATTTCGTAAGGTGGCTAACGGTTACTGAATAGTTCATCATGGGTTTCATTTTTCATGAAACTATAAAAGGATTAAAATGTTTTCAGAAAATCAGATTTGTAAGATTCGCTACAGCAACTTACTTAAAATAGGTGTATACCTGACTCATTAACTTCCACAGTGATATTGACATTGATTTACACTTGCATAATTATTTTTGTGTGTCTTAGTTTACTGTGATATGACTCCAGGATAGAGCGAAACTGGATACTTATTCACCAGTAGCTTGGACATTCCGGGTCAATATCTCTAATGGATTTCATTTGAGACACACTATTTTTTACTAGGAGATATTTTTGTTTTAGCCACAAGTGAGTGAATGTTTCACTTTCTTGCTGATAATCGATTACTGACTCATGAAAGTAATTGTTCTTATTATGGAAAAGGAACGCATTTCTAATCACACGAAAAGGGTAACAATTTAATTTTCTAAAAGCACTGTTTCCCTGTATTTTTCCGTTTCTTACACAGATCTAAGTATATCAGTATTGTGACGTTAATTCTAAATTTTATTGAGACTAAAAATTTCGTTGGAAAATAGACAGTAGCTTACTTTTTTCACTAGAACTTATCGACTGGGACTTTTTGATAGATGATATTGAGTTTGGTGAAAGTGTGTTAGATGTTGCAGTCACATTTGCTGTAGCCAGCTTGACACTCAAACGGAAATTATTATTTTGACATATAACGGATTGAGCTTAAAGAAAGATAGCAGATGAAAAGCAATAACTGACATTTATTTAGTAAATGCAATAATACTAAGCAGCAAGGAAAAATAAGGGGACAAAACTTACCATCAACTGAAATAGCTGATACGCTATACAAATTACTACGTCTTACCCAAATGATTTCTATTTCGTAAATTTTGACGCTTATTCTATGCGGCTGAAATGATAGTCTTAGTTACGAAATCGGTGACACTTGTATTTGCGAAATACCCAAGAGTGCTTTCCTATTATCTGTTCCAGTTGTGCATTTTATAGTAGGCCATGTACAAACATAATGTTTTTACTGTTGGTATAAGAAACAGCTGGTAGGAGTCGAATGCTAGTCAAAATGTCTACTGTTGTAAGTTGCACCATCCCATACTTGGTTGAAAGGTCCATAACTACAATTATTTTATGAAAGTTTCCTTTGTTCAGTCCACGCGTTTGGCTTGGTTTTAACGGAATTTATGAAAAGATTTACGAAAAAAGAGATTTATCAGGCCGATAAACTGTATTGTAAACTGATCATATTAGCAGTATAACCATCTCGGTCACTGAATTGTCAGTGGCTTACAACAACTTAGTGGAATTAAGTGTTTTCAATTGTTTTTTATTCAAACGTGAATACTTCAAGCCTTATGAAGAAATGTGCGTATCTTAGCACAATAATCTATTGTTAAATCAGTCGTCATCTAATATCCTGATGTTTGTTCCAAACAGTTTTCGTTGTTGTTGTTTAAATATAGTTCATTTTTGATTGAAAAGAAAAGCAGTTGATGAATGAAACATTTTTAATAGGTTTACTGATTATTATAAAAGGAATGGCTCTAAACGTGTAGTGTACAGTGTAAAAAAGTGCAATTCTCATATGTTTGTGATGTACATTTGTCATTATTGTTTTTTTTATCAAAATGCTTCCAGTAGTAAGACGTTTTTTGTAGACAGAGGTGTAGTGAAGTATATTATAGCCGATTTCTACTGGTAGAACGCTTGTGTAATATTTTGAAGCAGATTTCAATGTAATAATTTCAATTCCTACTTCATCAATGGAATAGAGATCAGTAGAAGAATCAATGTTTTAGTGGACTAATTTTCTTGACCTACTAAAGTTGAGCCATGTACTTAGGGTGGGAGAAATTCTTCATCAAATCACATTGTCATACAATTTGCAAAGCGGACTTAATGCAAGATTTTGAAACCGTTCCGACCAATTTTGTTTTTTTTACGATTTTCTGGTATTTTTAGTAAGTTTATCCATGTTTTATTTTTAGCCTCTTAGCCTGATCTGCTAAAATAGGTTGTGGCAACTCAGAATTCTGTTTAGCAACGTCAGTTCGAATGTTGATGTTGAATGATTGACCAACGAAGATCCATTTCACCATTCAAAATTTACCAGTTGTACAGTTGTACAATCATCTATTTTTCAAAGCCTAAACAGAAGATATATTATTTTTACTGAATCCATTCGCATCTTTCTTTTAATATCTTGAAAAAAAGATTTTTGGGAACCAAAATTATGCATTTATGCTAAGCAATAAAAGATTATTTATTGTTCGCTAGTTGGATACTGCGGTTTCCTGACTGCTTCAAGAAGATTCCGAGATTCACAGTTATTGAGATCTTAGGTAAGCACACCAAAATCTACGTAACGACGACTCTTGAATAGACACCAATTTTATGAAAGTAGTGGGTTAGTACTAAGAGGTGGAAATTAAATAAGTTTATGTGTTGTGATCAGTGACTTACCGACAAAATGTACAGGAAAATTTTGATGAAAACTTGGAAGTAATGCTATTTCTGGAAATTTGCTAACTTTAAGTACGAATTCTGACACTGAACTGTCATCGAAACAATCCAGAAGTTTGACAACCTTTATGGGCAATGTTTCGTTACATTCCAATTGTACACGGGGATCATCTGTCTATGAATAAGATGGTGCACCCAAAAGTAAACAAAACAATAATTAGCATTTCCTAAGTGTATGAAATTCATTTTACCAGAAGAAATATAGGAAACTATCAACTAGTTGCCTTAGACGTCTATGTGGATGAGATAAACTTTAACTTTTTTACAAGACCAACTGCTTATTACATTTCTCATTTTAACTGACAAAATCCTTACAAATGTTTAGTAACTATTAATAGGATTTCGTTGCATATCGCTTTGTTTGCTGTCAAAGGACTAAATATAGTCCTCCGCAAATTTCTGTCAATCATGATACAAACGTCACAGCATCAGGGTTTGCTGATAAGCTCGGACAACTAGGCAGCTTTTCTGTTTTATCTACATCTAAATTAAGTACACATGAGTCAGTTACTTAGTCGGATGCGCGTAACGTAGCACAATTCACCTCTGCGTGTTCCACGTGTAATCGTCAAGATTCTGTTGAGAAGTAGCTGCTGCTTAGTAAAAATATTTTATTTAAGGGGCAATTTGAATGCTCTACTCATCACGGATAAGCAACATTCGACCGTACTGTCCATAAATGACGTAGTTTATTGTAATTGTCTAACTAATCACTTCGTTTATATTCAAAGGATGAAATGTTCTTTTTAAGGTCTCTTATTACTTCTACGTTACATATAATGTTCACTTTCCTGTCCAGTCGAATGTGACCGTCAGATTTGTGAACTTCAAAAAAAGGTAGTAGATGAAACACGTATGTTACATACATGGATGTATCTTGGTTAAGCTTTACAGAACAAGAGTTGAACGTGTCTCTATTTCAGACGGTTATTGCAGTGAGAGATAAACTGATTACAAACAGTGTCACCGTTATTATTTAGTTTTTCTTGCTTACTTTCTGCTTCTGTTTGTTCTCAGTCAGTATGGATAATGTCATTTTCGCTGCTGTGGTCAATGCGATGATCAGCTGGATAGGTGTAATTTGTACTTATTCTGCTCAAAACACAAATTATCATACTGCCATAATTCATAAATTAAAATTGTAATTTAAGGGTTAAGTGAAAACGACACAGAAATTTTCAAATCAAGATTTATATGACAATATTTGTTTCGCTTTTTGTCTACATATATGCACATCTAAATGTATAACTAATAATCACTTACCCAGTAGAGATTTTGAGAAAATGTTCGGTTTGGTGGACAGATAAAAATAAGATTATCACCTTCGTTGGCATAGATTTCATTATGGTTTCTTTTAAACCTTAGAATAATGGAAAAATATTACAAAAAATAGAGTTCATGAGGGCATAATTAAATGTAATGATCACGGACATAAAGACAGATGTTAACCATAGCAGATTCGGGGAAGAGTCACAAACTTCTTCTGCAAGAATGGCCCTATTTGAAACAAACTTCAAAGACGCAGGTTAAACATTTTCATTTGTCGCATGATTGTGATGAAGTGTTGAAAGCTATCTCAAGAAGTTGAAAACTAGTTATCTATTCTGCATGTATTTATACTACCGGGATTATTGCAGAATCTTATTTCAGTCATTCTTGAAGTATGATACCAATTTTCTTGCATAACCAGTAGTTTGTATGACTGAATTCAGAAAAGTGAATCAAAGCTATGTACTCATTGTTTCATAAAACGTGTACTCATTAACCTGTTGAACCAAAACTCACAAACTATTCAAGGGCGAAATAGTAAAGGCTCATAAACTGTGACGCTTTTTACTTACGATTGCCTATAAAAACTGTGATTTCGCGTTGCTTCTAAATTCTGTCAAATCAGGTAGTCAGAAAGTGAATGTTAGCGCAGTGAATTTGATTACAGTCTTAATCAAAAGCTAGTGCTGATCTTTTAATCAAACTTCCTACGATAATCTCTCAAACAATTTAAGTCACCCTGACGGGAGTTAAACGGAACACTATGCATTCAGTAATAAACAATTTGAGTGCTTATCTTGAATATATTTATTGGTCATTCCACTTCAACGAAAAAAAGCTAGGAAATTCTAGGCCAACAACTTTTTCATCTTACATATTCTATCAAGATTACTCTGTCTTATCTGGTTTTTATTGTCCGATCATATCTTTCATCCATATAATTCACTCGCGTGAATTTTCAGAAAGTTATCCACCTATCGCTTTGAATTTAACTAACAAAATGAAGAAAAAAACATAAAGCTGGATTATGGCATGCCTTAAATCAAACGAAACTATATCAAATGAGTCTACTCGATAAAATCAGCTCAAATTGCAGATTCACGCTGTGTAGCCTTTTCTGTGATCTAACGCTGATCGCAAGCTAGCTGAATAAAAGTGCAAGAAACCGAACTGCTAAGCCTATATGGTGAGAAATTAGTGTCTTTAAGTAGTTTCAGAACATTCCTTTAGGGTCGGTACAGTTCTATGAAAACGTGTTGTGGAGGCATAGGAGTCCATATCAACATACGATGACACTGATTGACCTACAAATATTTTTATCTAATGACAATAGTAGCCGTATCACCGCGAAATGTTGTCTCAAACATTTATACAAATATGATGTCATTCACGTCACAAATGTTTACGTGACACTTAATTGCAAATACTCGTAACTTTTAGGATTCTCTCACAAATTCAAAAAATTTGCGGCGCCCACGATAAATGTTTCACTGTTCGCAGTGTGCGGTGATTATAACTCTTGTGACTGTAACTTTCGGAGCGCTGTTGATCGTAAAAATCTGGTCACTTTTCTATCTAGTTTCGATGTTATATCTAAGTTATTATTCGTTAGTGAACTGAGTAAATCTGAAACTAGGAATAGAGTACAATTACTGAACTCAGATCACTGTGTTATACGTGTTTTGCTGGATTGATGTGGTAAACTAAACAAAAGAACTTTTTCATTCCAAGCTGATTAGACAATATGCAAGAGTTATGCACACGTCAACATGTATGTAAATGATGTGCTAGGTGACACCACTGTTGCTGTCACACGTTACTTAAGATTAAGTCTTCATATTTATTGCCCAGTTGGAATAAATTTTCTGAGGCTTAACAGAATTTGTTTTAACAGCTAAAGAAACAACTACGAGTCCAAGAGAATTTGTTTAAAGTTGAAGAAAATATTGTTGTTAGACAAACTAACTGTGTGGTTCATTCTGACATAAAATGTGTAACACTTATGCAAAACCAAAATATCGTTTGCTGTGAGAATTATTTCATCATATGGCTGCTGTTAAAAGATCTCACTGGCCAAATGAACCTCAGTACTGAGGCCTGCCTAAACGTCTGTGCATTAAACCAGTCACTAAAAACGTGTGCCTACCAACGGTATCTAGTGAAATTTTATTCTCTGTGGAAATAAAAAAGCTGCCCTGACTTAATGATGTCCCAGCAAATAACGATGATCAGGCAATGATTTTCAATTAAAAGCTAATCCCAGAAATCAAGGAAAACTGTGAAATAAAGTAATGAAACATTAATATTCAAATTAGCCTTAGTAAAGTTAAACGAGTAAGATAGGTAGTGGAAACCTTTCAAACTGAAATATGCGCTAATATTTCTTATGGAATATTTCCATGAGCAACAATGCTAAGCTGAGTGGTTCTAGTCAGTGCAAATTCCTATACTTCATACTAGAATCAGTCCTGCCAGTAGCTGCATATAACACACATGGATGAAGAAATATATATAAATATCTTCCATTCACTTTTCTGATCATCTTGTCAAATTTCCTCTTCGACATAAAGATTGACTAGCATGTTTGAGCACACCGTATTTATATGTTATCAGCATAAGAATGTATCTCGGCATCCTTAATATTAAGGCATGCCTTAGCACATCATACTTATAAACCATTGGCATAAAAATGAACCTGCAACCCACACATTTCGCACAGGTAAACGTGCTGACTATCTCAGCTTGGTTTATATACATATATATATATATATATATATATATATATATATATATATATATACAGTGGTGATGCTACCACAGGTTTATCTACTGAAACGTTGTTACCACTTTAACCTCCTCTAAATAGTCAAATTAGGCCGTCTTCTCAGCATAAGTCGAGCGGCAAGCCACTTCAGCGATACTAATCCAATGGCTTTACTAAACCATTTAATCAGTAGTAGGGACGGACGGTGTGTACAAAGGGCAGGAGGATAATCAGCACAAGCTTATGACTTGCATTTACCGAGAATTCTTTGTCCACGGGGATTAACTGCATGCCTTGATCCCAGTCCTGACGGTGATGAAACAATATGCCTAAACCTTTTGGGCCAGGTTTCCAGACTAGCTGGCACTGCCATTGTAATACACCTGTGGCCTTGGACACCTGATGGTATCAAAGATCTGTTGTTACTCAATTTCGTGCCACTTAGGTGTGCCGCTCATTCCTCTAAGCAGCAAGTATCCACCTGAAGAAGACCACTCCATGAAGAAGCAATAGATGCCTTACCCTGAACGGGCACAGAGAACCAGTTTACTGTTAGTAGGTTAAAGTCTCGTTCGTTATCAAAATAAATCAGATAAATCGATTCAACGACTAAAAACGGTCATGCGCCTACTATCCACCAATCTGTTAGGAAATAATTCACTTCTGAAACGAAGTCGTGCATCAGTTGAAACAAAGTGCCTGATTCATGCCTGCAGTTACTATCGTTTCTCTTTAGGGATGTCTTCATCACAAACCGTTCGAAAAAAATGAAGGTACTGTAGAACATAATACTCATCAACTTAACTTCAAAAACTGATCAGTCTTAAATCCTGAAACCGGTCTTGAATAACAAACTGAATTTGTTTTTTAGCTCTTGCTTACATAAATCATATTGCGAGTCAGTATGTATAACTACTCATATTTATAATTATGCAGATGTTAGAAAATACGAGCATAGACTAAGAATTTGAGAATGTAGGGCAATTAGTTGAATGATGCTTTTAGATAAATAAACCGTTTAATAAAACTTCTTTTGATAAAACTTCATTCACGAGGACTTTGTTACTTTTAATTGGAAGGCAGACTAATTAATGCCGAGGAAAATATGTATATTCCACGTGAAATATGAAGAAATAGAAATGTATGAGGATGAAAATTCATGCTACTAAGAGCTAACAACGAAATTAAATTTTTTTAAAACAATTAGTTCCCTTTATAAACTTCGACAAAACAATCAGAAGACGTAAATTGTCTGAACCGTGGAATGTATTTGCGCAACACATTTCAAACTATCTGATCACACCCGTACTTGTCATAGGTATTTATATAAAAACTCATAAAGATAAGGGGTGAGAAAATAAAAAGTGGTCAGGTGAAAAGGCTGACTTAAAGGCCAAATAACAATGAAAATCAAAAGAGCGAAAAATTATAGTACATCGGACTTGGCTTTCAATAGTTGAATTTACCAAAGAAAATTTAATGTGACAACAAATTGTTTATGAACACATAAAGGTGGTTTCAACTTCCTAATGGCTAAGGCTTCAACAAATTTTATTATCTCCCCCCCTCCAACGTGTTTTGTAAATAGGTTTAAAGGTAGTAGCCACATCAATCTTGTGACCTGTCTCAACGATATGTTTAGCGATCGAAGAACTTGGACGTCTGCTACCAACATTTGTGGGTTCAGGTGATTTAATTTGCTTCTGAAGCCACTTTGGAATATGTTCTGAGGCCCTTACTTGCATGGATCTACTAGTCCTCCCTATGTATGTGTCACCACATGTACATTTGAATTGGTAGATACAATGGGATGTGACATTATCGTTCACATGCTGTGGGGGGTTTGGGGGAATATACGGGCTTCGTGATTTCGATCACTCGAACTCTGGCTGCATAGTAAGTCCTTCTAACAGCAGCGTTAAGTCTTTGCTTAAGGATCGCACTCTGAGAGTCACCTTTGTACGGAAGGTTGATGAAGACATCCTTTTTTGGGATTGACTGCAGTTCTAGTTTTGGCGCTCTGATAACTTTGTTCTGCCTGATAAACGTTGATGGATAGTTATTTTCCAACAAAATATCGGTCAGTGTTCCTCTTTCATCTAAAGTATTCTTGGTGCATATTCGTTGAATTCTGCTGAATAAGCACCTTACTAACGTCCGCTTGAAAATAAATAAATTTTAAGCCCAATGTAAAGCTTTTCAATTTTCGGTAGTTTATTTGGCAGCAACTAAATGAGGAATGTGATTACATTTTTTCTGTCTTAACTGCAACTTACATTGGTTGATAAAATGTTAACTATACCTAAAAAACAGTGCACCGGATTGAG